TGGATGATGGGACTTCAAGTACCTCCACTACCCAAGACTGCTGCAAAACTCATCTAATGACCAATCAAGACCAACGTTGGCACACAGAGCCCCCATGACCCACTCTACATCCTGCTGCAGTTTTGGAGAAGGGTGGACCATGGATGATGGAACTTCCAATACCTTCACTCACATTCTGAGACTTCTGCAAACCTCATCCAATAACGGATCAAGACCAAACTTGGCACATAGACCTCTCATGACCCACTTTACGACCTGGTGTTGTTTGGAAAAATTTGGAGATGGATGATGGGACTTGCAGTACCTTTGCTCACTTCCTGAGACCACTGAGACCCTCGCCAATGACTAATCAAGACTAAACTTGGCACATGGAGCTCCAATGACCCACTCTACATCCTGGTGCAGTTTGAAGGACAGACCATGGATGATGGGACTTGAAATACCTCCACTCCCTGAGACCGCTGCGACCCTCATAAATGACTGATCAAGACCAAACTTGGCACACATAACCCCCATGACCCCCTTTACATCCTGGTGAGTTTGAAAGGGGATGGACTTTGGATGATGGGACTTGCAGTACCTTCACTCACTTACTGACACCACTGCCACCCTCATCTAATAACTGATAAAGACCAAACTTGGCACACAGAGCCCCCATGACCCACTCTATATCCTGCTGCTGTTTGTAGGAGGATGGCCCATGGATGATGGGACTTTGAAGTACCTTCACTCACTTCCTGAAAATAATGCTGCCATTATCCAAAGACCAATAAAGACCAAACTTGGCATACAGAACCGCCATTACCCACTTTCTCTAATAACCCGGGCAACGCCGGGTCCCCAAGCTAGTTATATATATAGATTAGTCATAGAAGTTGGAATTCTATATTACTTATGGGTGGTTAATGTATAAATTTCCTTTTTTAAATCTTTGTGTGAGGTACTTATTATTCAGTTTAGAATGGGGTCATACAATAAAAACATGAAAAATCACTTAAAATTAAATAGTCTTTGTGCTTGTTGTTGTTACTTCCCATATCCATAAAACACATTAAAACATATCTTAGTACTGGAAAAAAAATACATCATATTGCAGTTGATTTCTTTCTTTATAGATCCTTGTTGCCTTGAGACATCTTCATTTTAAAAACATTGTTCATTGTGATCTCAAACCAGAAAATGTATTGTTGGCATCTGCTGATCCTTTTCCACAAGTAAGTAAAAATAACTTGTTGTGTAGTCAATTACAATAAAGCAAATTAAGACATGACATTGATAACTTCAGCTATTTCTATACAGGAATATAGAAACAGGAATTGGGTTTTCAGTGGATTGTTCAATGAAAAAACATATTGTCCTAATATGCTCCTCCTAAATGCTTACCACAGTACCACCCTATTCACTAATTGCACATCTAATGCCTATGACATCTGTCCCTCAATTGCATATCTATAATATGATAATATGCAAATACATACATCTTACTCCCATTCTAAATTGTAGCCTTTTCCCAAAGCTGCACATAGAACTAATTGTATGTGAAATTCCATATCTTTCCATCAGGTGCACAGATATTTTGTGGGCCTGCAAATGAATAACTCCCGCATCCAACATAGTCATTCTAGTCAGTCCATATTTTCACTGACCTACCAAATTTTGAATATCTTCCTTTAGAGAGAGAGAGAGAGTAGCATGTCTTTCCACTTGAACACATAATACAAACACACACTCAGATTCCATGAAAAGAGATTCCATATTACAGTTTCAGAGAAGTCTGTGGGTATTCCCAGATGTACCAGATGTAATTTAATAAGTGAGCCAGCATAATTCTCGTTATCAAAGTCAAGCTCAGGGGAAACATGTATTTTCTGGTTTCCATCCAAATCCAGCTACCACAATGGCAACTCACTAGTTTCCAGTGGTATGATGGTGGAACCAGTGCTTTCTCCCTCTCTCTGGAGCATTTTTTAAATTTAGAGGTGGGATGTTGTGCTTGTTTTAAAGATGGTGAATAAATCTCAGGTGAGAAAATATACATGTTGTGCCTTTTAGCACTGAGGAAGAGGCAATACAATAGACTGAATCAGTTTGAGATTAAGTGATCAGTATATCTGTCACTGATATTCAAATTTGTGAGGCAGTCAGGCTTATATTTCTAGGGAAACATTATACATCCCATTGGTTTTGTTATATTCATACATGCCCCACATGGAAATACATTTGCTGATATGTTTGCCTCCCCAATCTCAGTTCTGTCCCCTAACTTGGGAGTTCAAAACATGTTTTTTTCACCTATGCTCTAAGATTCATGCCTAGTGATGGTTGCTAGAAGAGTGCTGTAGAAAGACTATTGTGTGTTTGGAGTACCTTTTGCCAATGGAGTTAGCATTGTAAAGGAGCATACTACAACATCCCCAGTTGGCTGCACAGATAGTACAAATAGTAACACAATCTTGCATTCAGTATCCACTTAATTCAGCATACTAACCCCTTACTTTGATATATATGCATGATATCTGTATGACAGACTATAATTAAATGGATGAAATGTTTGAACTGTAATGGGTTTGTATCATTGACTTCTGTGCTGACAGGTGAAACTTTGCGACTTTGGTTTTGCCCGGATCATTGGAGAGAAATCATTCAGACGCTCAGTTGTGGGTACACCAGCCTACCTTGCTCCTGAAGTCCTCAGAAACAAAGGATACAATAGGTCATTAGATATGTGGTCCGTGGGTGTCATTATCTATGTCAGCCTTAGTGGTACATTTCCATTCAATGAAGATGAGGACATTCATGATCAAATCCAGAATGCTGCTTTTATGTACCCACCCAACCCCTGGAAGGAAATCTCCCATGAAGGTACTACTTTGCTTAAAGTTTGGCATACACTGACAAAAAAATGAACATATTTATATCCTGTCTTTCAATAAGGGCTACCTGAAGAAATAAACACTGCAAACTGCCCTTCCCTGCTGTTCATGAAAAATATTATCAGACATCTTTTCGTTGCTTAAAGCAGCTAGTTTGAAACAAGAAACAGTGCTTCCAAATAAGTAGTAGAGCTAAAGGTGTGCCAAAATAATTTCTCAAGTTTTCATAGATGATTATTCTGCTGCAAAAAGAAAGTGGGGAGGATAGAACACAAAACTTTGAGGAGGATATTCAAAATTCTAAGAGCATTTCCTTTGAGGTTTGCCTTTAAATATGAGAGTCTGATGCAGTTGCCCAAGGTAAACCGGTGGGTTTCACTGGCTAAGTGAGCCACAGTGGCACAATGGGCTAAACGCTTTTATTAGCTGAACTGCTGACTTTGAGACCTGAAGGTCAGCTGTGTGAATATGCGAGACGGGGCGAACTCTTGTCTGTCAGCCCCAGCTTCCCATATGGGGACATGAAAGAAGCCTCCCACAAGATTGTTACACATTCGGGCATCCCCCGGGCAATGTCCTTACAGATGGCCAATTCTCTCACACTTGAAGCGGCTTGCGGTATTTTTTCAAGTTGCTTCTAACAACATCAAAAAACTGGCTAAGACCTACCCTTGTAAATATTCAATAAAATTATTTTTAAAAAACTGGCTAAGTGGGAATTTAAGCCTTTGTCTTCCAGATTTCTAGTCCACACTCAAGCCACTATACCCCCTTCTCCTTCTCTCTCATTTTCTATCTCTCTCACACACACATCTTCCAATACTAAAGTAATACAATATAGTTTGTTTGTTGGCATCTAATGGTTGCCAGTTGTAAGCCGCCTTGAGTCCTCCCTCGGGGGTTGAGAAGGACAGGATACAAATATTTGAAATAAATAAAATAAATATAGGACATTGCGATATTCGACAGAGATAAAGAGCTGTATAAGTCTAGTTCTAAAGAAGTACAGTGTAAGAGACTGTGTGCATCTAGCAATTAAAGATGTAGCTGGTATTGCCCTATTTTCCTTTACTGTCTAGCAGTGTGAGGAACATTCAGGTTGGGTGGGGGAGAGTTTAGTTCTTTAACTAAGGGAAGGAGGGATAAAACCTGGGGTGAGACTTGTATGGCATTCAAAGCACATATGTTGGGGGAACATGGACCTACTCAGCACACCCCACTTCTTCCCACTTGTATTTCCCTTTCAAAACAAAATCTTGCCTCTGTTGTGTGCCTGTGTGTGTTCGTGTAAAAATCTCTTTACTCTGTGATGCATCTCTGGCCCTAAATATCAATAAATAGAAAGGGTAAGCAATCAATATGTATTTTTTAATTAGTGGAAAATAGTAGGGTGCAACCCATAAGGGGACAGATGAGTGAAAAATAAGGTGGAGTGGTCCTCTGACCTTCAGCAGTTTCCTATTTCTTGTTTTAAACCTTCCTTCCCTATGCATGACAATGACCCCAGGAAAAAAGAAGCTTGTTCATCTGTAAGAAAAAGAGATGTAACTGCCAACTACACTCTTGAATGGAAATGTATAATATCGTAGCATGTATCAGAATATGAAAATTATTTTACTCTGCTTCTAATGCGGTCGCTGCAAATTGTACATTCAACTGTAATCTATATAGCTATACATGTATGTACAGCAACATTTAAAGATGGTTCTGCTATGTGTCTCATTCATTGCCATTCAGAAAGAAGTAATGGTTTAATCATGATATCACAATTGAAGGGAAAATATATTATTGTTGGAGAGTAGCTTTGAAAATTAGCACCAAGTCTATTCATTAGATTGCTGCTTTGTATTTCATAGTGAGAGCTTCTGTTTCACCTCTCTAATGTATGGCAATATTTCTCATTATAACGTGGAGAACAGAATGTAAGATTGCCAATAGAATTGCATATTGGTGTCAAGGTTTTTTCTTGGCCTCATTATGCTCAAGGCTGTCCTAACCATCAAAGCTTCTAGCACAAAAAAATAGGTTAACACTTGAGGCAAGTTATTTCTGCTATTATATTTGAACAAACTTGCAGTCCTAAAAGTTCCTTGTGCCTGACCAGTTTTCTTGATGGCTATATTTTTGTTCCTATATTCATGTTTTGTTAAGAGTATTTTTTCTAAGTAAATCTGAATAGAAAATAACAGAAAAAGAGAATACCTTTCTTTTTATTTTGTAAACATGGACTGTAGATATGAACAATAACATTAACAATTGATATGTACCCTCCTTCCTTTATGGAGTGCGCTTATGAGGTCCATGTTAATCTTTCTTACCATGTTAAATGCTAACTTTAAAGAAGATAAGTTAGTTGTACTTTATAGGTTTTAATACATGTGTGTTGTTATTGTGTTTTATCGTGAAGATGGTTTTTGTAATGCTGTGTGTGTGTATATATTGTTGTGTATTCAGCAAAACAATTTAAAATGTAGATGTGTGTTTTTTCTGATTGATTTTTGTAGTTGTGGTTGCTAGTGAGCTGTGTAGTTTTAGCATTATAACATTTCTGCTTCTTTTTCTATCAGTGTTGCATTTTCCTTTGTATCTCTTTTTCCTGTCTAAAAAAATGTTCACAAAAAGGACTTCAGAAGTGTTAAAATATTTGAAACTGGAGCAAGTTGGGGTTTACTGTCTAATCTGCAATTCCTTTGAATATCATTTCCCACCTAAATGTTAGTTGCTTGTCTCTGGATTTTATTTTTATGTTTCAATCATTATTATTCCTATTCTGTTTTGTATATTATATCTTTATTGCTTTGATCACTATCTATTGTTTTCCACCATCTTGTCTGTTTTCTCAATAAATCTGTAACGAGCCATTTTTTTTTAAAAAAAATGCTAATCAAATAGATGAATTGAGAGCAGCAAATGTATTTGGTTTTCCCAATATCAGCATTGTACTTGAATTAATAATTCTCAGAGAGAACATGTAAATTACATGTGAAAATGTATTGTTGAAGGCATTCATGGCTGGAATCACTGGGTTGTTGTAGGTTTTTCGGGCTGTATGGCCATGTTCTAGAAGCATTATCTCCTGATCTGTGGCATCTGTGGCAAGCATCCTCAGAGGTTGCTTGCCGTAGATGCAGGCAAAACATCAGGAGAGAATGCTTCCAGAACATGACCATACAGCCCAAAAAACCTACAACAATACATGTGAAAAGTTCTGGGTTCAGTCCTCAGCATTAAAGAATCTCAGGAAACAAGAGTGTGTGTTACTTCTGTCTCAAGTCCTCGAAAAAACTGCTGCTGCTAAGGAATACACATCTGGTCTACATGGGCTAGTGATCAGACATGATAAAAAGCCACTTAATGCATTTAGTGAGCACTTGTTAACAAATTAGTGAGAGGAATATCATATCAGCCAAAACTGAAGTTGTACCATGTTCCACCCACAGTCACAATCTGTCAAGTGATGCTCCAAATGAATCAGGATACACACTTCTTGTGCTATTTATGTTAGAGGCTGCCTGCTCCTTGGGTATTCTGTAATAACAGGCTATCTGAAGAGCAGGACTTCATTCCAAGATTCCATAGATAGGTATTCCATATCTAAAATAGTTGCCAACAGCCATGAATTCAGCTCCGATGTACCCTAATTATGAATAGCTGCATTTCTTCAGACATTCAACTTCTCAGATTTCAGATACATACAGCAGTATGAGTCCCATGCTGTCCTCTTAGTACAAGGAACACCTGGAAGGCTTAGGGTTTCTATACCATTTGCCCCCTTCAGCTGCAATTTTCCTTGCATTCCACTGCACTACAAAATTGGCCTGAACAATTAAGAACTCGGTGGATAGATCAAAAATTAAGTTTTACTAACTTGGTCAAAACAGGTTTTCAAAAGGCCAGGCTACCTCAACTGGCACACATTTCACAAACAGAGTACTGAGTTTTGTCTTGCAGTTTGGTTCCCATAACATCTGACCTGTTGCTATATAAAATTCAAGCAGGCATTTGGAGTGATGTCTTCCAATATTATTTTCTCTCTCTCCAGCTATTGATCTCATAAATAATTTGTTGCAAGTGAAAATGAGAAAGCGCTACAGTGTGGACAAGACATTAAGCCACCCATGGCTACAGGTAATGCTGTAAATTTCATGCCTTTTGACTTCTGTATCTTTCTAGTTAGATACCAAACAAGGATATATTTTTGGAACTGCCATTCAAAACTGAAGCCAAGTTATCAGTACATCAGGAAGTGCAGTGTCTAAATTAAATGGAGCATTCCTTAAGCATGAGTTGCTGAAAAGTGTAATCAGAATATCAGCCACTAGCAGCTTTGGGTCTTGATCAAGAGAGAAAAGCAGGGTTATTATTATTATTATTATTATTATTATTATTATTAGTAGTAGTAGTAGTAGTAGTAGAAGAAGTAGTAGTAGAAGCAGCAGCAGCAGCTCTGTATTATCTTTGGATTCCTATTTAAACATCTGCCAGAGTGTGTGCAGAATCCTTAGGTTAGCAGAGTGCAATGTAGTGGCAAGTCATATGCTACATATAGGATAACACTGGTTCAGTCCCTGCTATCATCAGAGCACCCAAGTAGACACTGTTTTCAAGTTTTAAGATTCTTCCACAAATTACATTAAACTGCACTGGAACCACCATTGCTCAATGCTACAGGATTATGGGAGCTATAGTTTTTACAAGGTCTTTAGCCTTCTTCATTAAAGACTGCTAGTGCCTTACCAATGCCCATGATTCCATGCCATTGAGCCATATCAGTTAAAGTGGTGTCAGACTGCATTAATTCTAGAGCTTAATGCATTTTACATGCTGCTTACTCCCACTTTTGTTTCCTTTTTAAAATGTTTCTGGGTTTTGCCCTTTTTTAAACAGATTTGTTATTTATTGTTTTGTTTTGGATCAATTCAGTTTTTAGTCTAAACAAAACTGATTGAATTAATGGAACTTCCATAAATTATTCACCAAACTCTCACTTACTTTGTGAGACTCACATTTAGATTTTAGGCCAGTTACGATCGGAGGTGCACCTGTATTTCAGAACAGTAGCATATACCACAGAATCAGATATAGAATCATATAGTTGGAAGAGACTACAAGAGCCATTCAGGTCCAATCCCCTGCCGTGCAGGAATGGCAGATAGCCATCCAGCCTCTGTCCAGAGAAGGAGACCACTACATACTTAATTCACTGTCAAACATCTGCCTCAGTCTTGTCAGAATATAAAGAAATAAGCTTTCGTGGTATTGTCTTTTCATAGTTTTAAAATATCAGTGATCCATGCTGTTTTCCCTCCCAGGATTACCAGACCTGGCTAGATTTACGAGACCTTGAAAGTAAAATAGGGGAACGTTACATCACCCATGAGAGCGATGACTCGCGGTGGGAGCAGTATGCAGGAGAAAATGGCTTGCAGTATCCAGCACACCTTATCAGTTCAAGTGCTAACCGCAGTGAAAATCCTGAGCCAGAGGAAGCAGAGTTGAAAGCCCTCAGTGAGCGTGTCAGTATCCTTTAAATTGCAGCCCTTGTAATCTGTCAAAACACTGTGGAACTAATAAATACATACGGTCATGTTTAACATTTGCTTTGCAGAACTGCCATTATTTTCTGTCAGATGGGAACAAAGCTGTTACACTGTTACCACCATTGATGTATGGGAGTTGCCAAGACAAATCAACAGAAGCATTTTTTAAAAAATTGTGCGTGAGCAACTGTGTTATGTTAACAAAAAAGTTCTCAGAAACACTCAACCTGTTGTTGTGGATGATTCCTGTTGTATGCTGAGCATTCAGGCCTGTTTCTACCGTGCCTTTTCAGACAAGTTTTTCCTTTAATCAAGTCTCATTTTGCAAGACAAAGCATCTCCAGGCAAATCTCTGTTTTTGTGTGCATTATTAATTAGTATTGTAATTGTTTGCAAACTCTTGAAGAGTAGATTACTACTGCTGTTCTGTGAACAACTTTTAACATTTTCAATAAAAGTGGGGGGGGGGGGTTATGTTTTTGGTTTTGCTGTGAAAAAAATACATTGAGATATTGCATGGGGAAAATTAGGGAAAAACACAGAATTGTCCAGGTGCAGACCAGAGGCTACTCTGTGATGAGCATTTATATGAATGCACTGGCTAATAAATCATATTGCACAGTTATGGAAGGGGCAACGTTTTAAAACCTTAATGCCTTAGTAACGTTAACTGCAGCCCTTATTGGTAGTTTATTCCTGATTCTTACAATCTTCTGTAGCATGGACATTTGGAAGCTAAAAATCATGTTACCTTTATGTATGTTTTGAATAAAACTTTGCTGAAAATATATGTTTTGATGTTGGAATATTTTACCAATCTTAAGAATTTCCAAGTCTGAATCAAGAGCTTCTGTAAACTACAAGTCTCAATCAATATGGTGCAGCGATTCTAAAGAAAGTTAGTAGGCATCATCTCAGTAATGTCTGGTTAATAACAGGAATAAAGAATGAAAAAATCACAAAGTTATAACTGCAGCTTTGGATATGATGAGAACATTTCTAGTGGAAATAAATCCAGTTTAGCAATTCAACTTGATAGGCTTACTTTTAGAAGTAGGTAGATTGATAGATACATTTGGTCACTAGAGTCAACAAATGTATTATGTCTTTATTCCTGATTACTCACTCGTGGTCACAAAATATATTTTCAGATCCAGATCATGGTTGATGATCTACGATGATCTACGTAATGTTAACTCACGTTGTTATAATACAGTAGTACATATTGTATGCAGAACTTCCATTGATGACTGGTGCAAACTCTACAGATCACCTTCCAGCAGGGATGGCTCTCAGACTATTTTCTAGGATTTTGAATTAGCTGAATATTCTATTTTTCTAGTATTTGTAAAGTTTTCTAAAGGCTGGGCTTAAATTTACATGCCTGTGTTCTCAGTAACTACTTTTTGTTGTGAATTAACTATCACATATCTGAAAACACAGAAGTCAATGATCTCCTTAAGGCAATGCTTTTTATTTTGTGACTCTCAAATCAGGTGCTACCCATATAGACGAATAGCTTTAGAAATTAAGTGACAAAAATTTTGCTGTCAGTTTACAACTTCTTAAAGATGGAACCAATGTGCCCTTCTTTTGGAAGAATTCTTATACTCAGGATACAGCTACAGAAAAGAGTCCTTCTATCTACCAAATTATCTACCTTGGTTGCTAGGCCATAGAAGAGAGTCTCTGTTGAAGATCATAAAGTTAAAAGGTAATATCCAGCCCTCTAAAAATTAGTTCCAGAAAATAGGGCTGAACACTGTGGGGGAGTGGTGCTAAGAAGGAACAAATTGATAGCATCTCTCCTTTTGCCTGCAGGAAATCTGATTCCTTTTTAAATTAGGGTCCCTCTCATCTCTTCCTTTTCCATTCAAAGAAGATTAATTCAGCATCGCAAGACATTGGATTAACTCATGAGTATTCATTCATGTGAAACTAAATAGAACAATTCAAGAATAATTTCTGCAACTTGGAGGGTCTTGCTTCACAAAATGACCAGAAAGTGGGAACTCCACTATGGATATGGTGGTACCTTCAAGGAATGAACAACAAGCCCCTTACTTGACCAACTCAGTACATAATGTCCTTCGATGCACTTTATCTCACCCTTCAGTGATTTAAATCCCATTGCTTGCCCCATCCGAACCTCCTACCAGATACGTTACCTTACTCATCCATCTCACCCAGGGTTTTGAAAATCCTATCTGTTGTATTAGGCCCTGCCCACTTGGTTCAATGTTTTGTTATTTGTATTATACTCTGTTTACTTTGTACTATTTATTTATTTATTTATTTATTTATTTATTGTATTCTAGTTGATGTATTTTATGATTTTATGTTGTATTATTTTGCTTTGTTGTAATTGTTGGGCTTGGCCTCATGTTAGCTGCCCCGAGTCCCTTTGGGGAGATGTTGTTGTTGTTATTGTTGTTGTTGGTATTATTATTATTATTATTAGTAGTAGTAGTAGTAGTAGTAGTAGTAGTAGTAGTGCAAGAAAGAATCACTCTTCTACTTCTCCTCACCTGGTTCTCTCCATAGAACAAAAAATGTAGCCTGAAAAATAGATCAGAAACTTTAAAATCCTTTTAAAATAGATCAAAACTAGGAGAAGGACTTTGAGATTATTGCAGCAAAGTGTAGTGCTGCAAAAAAGAGGGTGCATAATATTTTTGCCTGCATGAATAGAACTATAGTTTTATAAGACAAGGGGCGTGATAATCCCACTATATTCTACATTTGTTTAAGGAAATATATGGACAAGTTGGAGCACTTTCAAAGAAAGGCAACAAGAATGATAAAGAGATGAGATATGGAGGGGAAAAACCAGTGAGAAAATGTTGAGATATTTGGCTTGCTCAGCCTGGAAAAGAGAAGACTGAGGGGTGACACAATTGCACTTTTTAAGTATCTAAACGAGTGGTTCTCAACCTTCCTAATGCTGCGACCCCTTAATAAAGTTCCTCATATTGTGGTGACCCCCAACCATAACATTATTTTTGTTGCTACTTCATAACTGTAATTTTGCTACTGTTAGTAATTGTAATGCAAATATCTGATATTCAGGATGTGTTTTCATTCACTGGACAAAATTTGGCACAAATATCCAATACGCCCAAATTTGAATACTGGTGGGGTTGGGGGGGGGGGCAGTGCTGATTTTGTCATTTGGAAGTTGTAGTTGCTGGAATTTAGAGTTAATTTACAATCAAGGGGCATTCTGAACTACACCAATGATGAAATTGAACCAAACTTGGCACACAGAACTCCCATGACCAACATAAAATACTGGAAGGTTTTGGTGGGATTGACCTTGAGTTTTGGAGTTGTAGTTCACCTAAATCCAGAGGGCACTGTGGACTCAGACAATGATTGATCTGGACCAAACTTGGCACAAATATTCAATATGCTCAAATGTGAACACTGATGGAGTTTGGGAAAAATAGACCTTGGCATTTGGGCATTGTAGTTGCTGGGATTTATAGTTCACTTACAATTAAAGAGCATTCTGAACCCCATCAACGATAGGATTGGGCCAAACTTCCTACACAGAACCCCATGACCAACAGAAAATACTGTGCTTTTTGATGGTCCTTGGCGACCCCTCTGACACCCCATCATGACCTCCCCAGGGGTCCCAACCTACAGGTTGAGAAACACTGATCTAAAGGGATGCCACAGAGATGATGGTGCTTGTTTGTTCACTGCTGCTCTATAGGGTAAACCCAAGGGTAATGGTTTTAATTTCAAAGAGGATAAATTTTGTTTAAACATTCAAAATAAGAGGTGGTAGGTTCTTTTTCTCTTGACATCTTCAAAAGGAGGCTTCTGATGATACTCCGACTGGATTTCCATGTTGAGGAGAGATTTGGACTCAATGACCTATGAGGCTCTTTTCAGCTTCATGATTCTAAAACCAGTACTATCCTGGACACTTGTAATCTTGTTTAGCAGGGTCTGAGCCTGTTAGTACTTGAATGGGAGACAATCCATCAATACCAGGAAAGCTAGAAAAGAGCCCTGGAGAGCTGCTGATATTTAGAGTTGCTAGGAGTGCATTAGTTGGACTGATTACTATAAGATAGCTTCCTGACTTTCTGTTATACACTGGATACTAGTTTGAGACGGATAAAATCAGGTACAATATCCCAGCAAATGTTTCCAAAATGAGCTGTTTGTATTTCTGAATTATGTAGAACATAATGCAGAGAAAGAGAGGCATTTGAGAACTAAATTATTTCTTTGCTGCAACACAAATTGTCTCATTATCTTCTATTGTATTTGTTTTTACTTAGAACTCTTTAACCATTGAATGCCAACTTAATTGTTTCCTCCTCCCCTCCCTGTAATGGTCTGTGGGAGTGGGGAATCTTGTTTTGGAAAACTTGTCAAGATTAGAGACTCATGTAAGGAAACAACCTAAATTTGGCTTTTGTATGGCTAAATCTGCACAATTATAATAATTGTTGAATTTGCTCTGACAATAATGGAATACATACAATCTGTAAAGTATGCTAACTTTTATTGTGTTCTAAAATGTTGAAAACCTGTTTGTTGTTGGAAGTTACTCCTAGAGATTAAAACCGACACAGAAGAGACTGCAAATTAGTGTAATCTCTCAAAAGGCTGTAATTTGAAAAAAGATGTTTGCCTTTCAACCAGGGAACTATATCATATTTCATGCGCTAGGCATGCTTTGAATTACACCCAAGAAAGTACATCAGAATGAGTTGACAAAGGGAATGTGCTGGCGACTGTGCTTTCATGTGATGTGTAATATTTGTATGCATATAGCCTGGAACATAGAAATTAGATAAACTTGGGCTTTTGTGGGTTATTTGGGCTGTATGGCCATGTTCTAGAAGCATTCTCTCTTGACGTTTCGCTTGCATCAAGACAGGCATCCTCAGAGATTGTGAGGTCTGTTGGAAATTAGGAAAAATGGGTTTATATATCTGTGGAAAGTCCAGGGTGGGAGAAAGAACTCTTGTCTGTGGGAGCTAGGTGTGAATGTTTCAATTGGCCACCTTGATTAGCATTTGATGGCCTGACAGTTTTTAGGTGTGGTTTGTTATTGCCTGGGGGAATCCTTTGTTGAGAGGTGATTAGCTGTCCCTGATTGTTTCTTTCCTGGAGTTCCCCTGTGTTTGAGTGTTGTTCTTTATTTACTGTTATTAATTTTAGAGTTTTTTTTAAAAAAAATACTGGTAGCCAGATTTAAACTTGCTTGTAAAATGAGAGCCATGTAGCCCAAGATTGAGTTTGATTACTTTCTGTCTTGACAAGAATCTTGCCTAAATAACCTACAGACACCCGATCATGTCTGATCTTGGAAGCTAAACTGGATCAGTCCTTGTTAGTACTTGGATGACAGAACACCAATGAAAATTCAGGCTATATTTTGGAGGAAGGAACTGGAAAAACCACTCTCTTCTTTTTCATTAGCTGGAGCAAAATACACATTCATTTTTCTTATAGAATCTACATTGTCAACTTTTCTGAATAAAAATTTTAAAAGCCCTAAAAGTTGGCCCTCCACATTTACAGGTTTAACTTTTGCAAATTTGATTAATATGTTTTCTTTAGGAATCTACCATCATAGCTCTGATCAACTTCTACCAGATGGAGTTGCAATTCTTATTCAGTTTTTCCACTCTTATCCTAACTCCAGTAAATGTGGAGGGCCTATTGAGAGGGATTCAGCTTGCTAGGTGAGGTTGCTTTCTTGCTAAACACATGGCTTTGCCATTTGGGGTTACTCCTGAATTCAATCCTAAGACTGAAG